TACACACTAATGTGACAGAAATGTGTATATAAAAATTTAAATTAATAAATATAAATAAATAAATGTCACATCAATTAAGATTTTATATATTTAGTTTGTATATATGAGATTACTTTTATTTGATTGTATAAAAAATTGTGTATATGTAATTCAAAGAATAAAGTTATTTGTATTAATCTTATCAATCAACATTAATATATGATCATTTTATTTCAATGTGTTACGATTATACATCGGAGAGAAGTGGATTGAATCTTGGGTTTATAAGATGGGTAAATAAAATTAAACTAATCTTTTGGACAGTAGACAAGTGTCCGACCCATGATAAATGTGTCTAAATCAATTAGTTTGTAGTTTTATACACTTTTTGCGATAATTAAAATCAAGGGGATTTTTGTACATTCCATTATTTAGATGCATTCATTGTTTAATAAGTTTTTCTTTTTAAAACGTTCACAATTTTATTAAGTTAATATACAAGAAATAAATTAAAGTAGATTCATGTAGCAATCATTGCATAATATCATTGGATCACATAAATAAGAATAATTAATATAATAAAACATGGAAGAGGATTTAGTTTCATAGCACCAAATTCATTCATCTTAATCATTTTGAAAAAAAAAAAAAAAAAAAAAAAAGAATAAGAAGAAACTGAATTTCATTTTTGGATTTGCATAAAAAAGAACATATTGGATTGGACAGACCCATTTATGGATTCAGCCCAGAAAAGCCCAAAAGCTTTTAATGCTTCAGATTTGAGTTATTTGTGTCAATTTAATTATTTATTAGTCAACATTTGGAGGAAATTTCCTCGAAATTTCATAGATTAAAGTTAATCATAAAAATGTAACTATTGTTAGTCGATAGAAAACAATATTATACTTATAATCTAATCTTATAAATTTTCTCCTATAACTCTATGTAGAAGTTCGCAATTGATTTCTAATGAATTTTTTTCATCTGAATAATTACAAATTGACTAATTATAAACTATCACATCAAGATCATGAAAAAGAATTTGTGAAATTGAGATTATGAGAGAGTATTTGTGAGATTAGATTCTGAACCAATCTTGATTGTTTGATAGAAGCACCAAAAGAAGACCCTTGAAAAGTCGAGTGTTTTGCCCCCGCGCCTAATTTGGAGGAAGTTTCCTGGAACCTTCATAAAAGTTACTGTATTCAGTCTTCAACAGAGTTTATCGGCTCTTTCACGCATCTCAAGTCTCAACAAACTGAAATGCATATATGGATTATGGACCCTTGAACAATTTTTCAATAGGGAAATGGTAAATTAGTATTGTTATAACCAAGCAAAAAAAAATCAAAAGTTGCAATTGCTGAAGAAGGAAAGGAAGATTGAAGCTGCTGAAGTTGCTGGTAATGCGTGTTTTGAAAGTTTGCTAAAAGTTCTAATATTCTTCCACTTATTCTATATTGATGTTGCAATAGATAAAAAAATTTTTGCTCACAACAACGGAAAATCCTGTGGCTTTTTCGTGGCCATTATTCAATCGGAAATAAGTAAGAATTCATCCATCAGTTGGTGCCGCACCCTAGAAGTTGTAAGTTTAATTTTGACATAAACTCTATTTCTATCCATTTTTATCATTTATTTAACTTGAATGTTATAGTCCATAAGCCGTTAAAGGCTCTAAAAGTTCGGGATTTTCATTTTTAAACAAGATGAACAATTCTAACGAATCATTAACCATATCAAAATTTTATCTTTAGTTGATCGAGTTAGCTTTTTCTTTCCTGCTAATAAAAATATATTCGTGAAATTAATTTCGCAGATAAACTCGATTGGATGTTTTGGTATCTTTAAAAACTTATTATTTGGATTATTTTTCAAAAAATTAAATTAAAGATAAATTAAAATTACTATATATTATGCTAACACAAGAGAGAATCGTTTGTAAAACCAGCTTGCCTTCCATGAGCATCCTTGCAGCATCGACATCTACATATATTACTTCTTTCTCTAGTTAGAAGTACGATGTCTTTCTAAGTTTTAGAGGTGAAGATACCCACAAAAGTTTCACAAATCATCTATATAGCACTTTGAATCAAAGCGGAATTAATATATTTATAGATGACAAAGAACTTGAGTGAGGAAAATGTATTTCATCGGAACTTCTGGAAGCAATTGAAGACTCAAGATTGTCAGTTGTTGTTTTCTCAAGAAATTATGTAACTTATACTTGGTATTTGGATGAACTTATTAAAATTGTTGAATGTATGAAGACAAGATGACAGAAGGTCATCCCCGTTTTTTATGATGTCGATCCGTCTATTGTAAGGAAACAAACAGGAAACTTGTGTGAAGCCTTTATAAAGCCTGAAGAAATTTGCTGGGAGAATATAGGAAGGGTGCAAACATCGAGGAATGCATTGACTGAGGTGGCCAACCTCTTTGGTTTTGATTTGAAGGACAGGTAACAATTATTTCTTCTTCTATTAAAATAATACAGAGCTTAATTATCAAAACGATTGAAGTAGTATTAGGTTTCTCATGTTATTTATTCTTTGACCGTTTGGATGGAAAAAGAGTCAACAAGATTCTTTGCTGCTTTTTGAATTGCATTAACACTTCCTACAATTAACCAACCAAAAGAGTACTTTTATTAGATTGCCTCACAGGTTTTGCCTGGCAGAGACAGAGAAGATACTTAGGCCGGCTAGTCTTTGTTTTTTTTTTTAAAAAAAAAAAAAAAGTTACAGGTCAGGACTGAAAGGCTCGTAACAAATGATATGTAATTACAAGACCATCCTTAGTTTAATTTGACTATACCAATTACAACTCTTATCTTCACTCTCTGTTATATCACGATTTTGCTAAGTCACACACCTATTTCCTTAGTTCTCTGCATGTCACTATAAAATTTTAAGAGTATTATAGCATGAAATTAATTAACTTTTAATTTATCGGTTTTTATTGTTTTACTCTTTAAAAGTCTAGAGTAGCTTTCATTTCTAAGATAATCCTCTATATCTCAAACTTTCATTTTGTTACTTTCAAATTATTTCAATATTGTCAAAGATATAGATTTATATATACATGTTATTTACACTACTAACTTAGTGAAACTATTGATTGAGATCCAGAATTAGAAGAGTTTTACTTTTAGAAGCATCATAGCTAGGGCTCAACTTTAATAGCATTTTATTATATTTTCGTTAGATTAGTTGTCCATAGTATCTACGTGATAGATTTTCTATTTTAGTCCGGCTCAGAAAAAATTCCAAGTAGCGCCTCTACATTGGCAGATGTTGATATGCATGACAAATAAAGTGGTACCGTTAGAACTCTCCACCACTTAGAAGAGATTTGAGCAAGTTTGACTGAGAAATTATAAGCAAGGAGAAAAAGAAAGAACACAAAGTGTTTATCCTGGTTCGGCTTTAATTCAAGCCTATGTCCAGTTGAGCTCAGCCATTGAACTCGTTCTCTGCACCATGTTAATGAATTGAACAACTATATTAAGAGATATTAAACAAGTTCTATCACAATGATTTTGAGAGCACAACAAGAAAAACACCCAAACTCCTTTTTTGTTTCTCACCAAATCTGTTGTATCTCTCAATCTCACGCTACACCATCGTTACTTTTAGGCCAATGTAAAAGGATATTAATCCCTAATCTCCAAGAGGGATTCATTGTATCAAGGACAATAATTCAACCATTGATTCTTGCCATTTATATCAAAATGATAGCTTGCTACAATTTCCTTTTGTAGATTACCAACCTGTAATGTAGTGTAAATGATAGCTTTTTTAATTAAGGATCGGTCACAATAGGTATCATTGTTAAAATAATGAGCTATGATAAGATTATATAGATTTTACAAATTTGGAATAAAAATAAACAAAAAAGGAAAAGAAATTTTTTCTTGTTTATGAGGATTATGCATATTGTAATATTTATTTATTAGTACATATCTTCAAGATTCATGACTGATGGGGAATTGTAAATACATATTTTTGTTCTTCTTTTACTTTTTTTTCACTCCACAGGCACGAGTCTGAATTTATTCAAGAAATTGTGCAGGAAATTTCAACTAAATTACGGCACCTTTCAACATGCATGAGTTTCAAGGACCTAGTTGGCATAGATTCACATTTGGAGAAATTGAAGATACTTATAGGTGGAGGGAGTGATGTTGTTCGCATGATTGGGATTTATAGAATGGGATGAATAGACAAAACAACTATTGCACGAGTAGTCTATGAGTCGCTTTCTTGTGAATTTGAAGGTCATAGTTTTCTCGCCAATTTTAAAGAAATGTCAGAAAAGAATAACTTGATTTCTTTACAAAATATACTTCTATCCCAGATCCAAAATGTTGGACCAAGTCATACTGACATACAAAATATCTATGATGGAGTTAGTAAGATAAAAGGTAGGTTGAAGCACAAAAAAGTTATTATTATCGATGATGCAGTTCATATAAACCAATTAAATGCGTTAGCTGGAAAGCATGATTGGTTTGGTTTAGGTAGTAGGATCGTAATAACAAGAAGAGATAAAAAGTTACAACTCATAGAGAGGATGAATTACACAAAGTTGACGAACTAAATCATGATGATAGTATTAGGCTCTTAGTTTGAAAGCCTTTAAAACTATCAACCTTCCCAAGGTTATGTGGAGTTGTCAAATTGTTTTGTAGAGTATGCTCATGGTATTCCATTAGCTCTTGAAGTTTTGGGTTCTTTTTTATATGGTGGACCTGCAAACGAATGGATTAGTGAACTAAAAAGGTTAGATAGAGATCTTGAAAATGAAATTCTAGATACACTTCAAATAAGTTTTGATGGGTTAAAAGAAACAAAAAAGAAATTGCATGTTTTTTTAAAGGGTATGATAGAGCTTATGTAACAAGAGTACTTGATGGTTGTGGTTTTAGCTCAACTATTGGAATAAGTGTACTTATTGAGAAATATCTTGTTTTTATTTCCTATGGCAACTGCTTGAGGATGCATGATTTGTTGCAAGAAATGGGACAACATGTTGTTAGAAGAGAATCCATTAATGAGTCTGGAAAACTTAGTAGACTATGGAATGATGAGGATATTCACCATGTGCTAACAAGAAACATGGTAAGTGATTTAGTGGTTGAAACATTTATTTTTTATGTTTATTTTCCATAACCATGATGAAGATCAAGGGTGGAACTAGTATTTGTCAAGCTTTGGGTAAATAAAAGTTTTTTTTTTTTTTTTTTACCTAAAAGTGACTTTGTTATAATAAGTTATATCAGAATTACCACTCAGAAATTTAGAAGTTAAATTACTTAATTCTCAGTTTATCAAACATGAAGTGTTCATATGTGTGTTTCTAAACCTGTAAATCAAAGTCATCACTACTTTTCGATAATTCAATTCTTTTTTTTTTTGGGAGTATATGAAACTAGTCATCAAAAAATGGATTCTCTTTGTATTTTGAACTTCCATGCATGGTTCAACGTATAGTGCTACTGATATAGAAATACACCCCACATTTGAATTTTTTATTTTAAAAAAAAATGAAAATAAAATTCTTTTCATACTATTGGAATCTACTAAACTAAACATTATTGAGATTTAATTTTGCCTAAGAAAAAAAAATCATGGTTCTATACTGCTATTGCTGATGAAGTTCTCCTATGGTGATATCAATGTCTCTAAATTTGGTTCTCACTCTTTCAATTTACTTTATTCCAGGGAACTGAAGTAGTTGAAGGCCTAATACTCAACTCTCCCATGAAAAAAGAGTTGCATTGTAGTGCTAAAGCTTTTTCAAAGATGATCAACCTGAGAGTACTCAAAATCAACAATGTACAACTTCCTGAAGGCCTTGAATACCTTCCTAATGAGTTAAGGTTATTTGATGGGCATGGATGTCCTTTAAAATCCTTGCCTTCAAATTTCAGACTGGATGATGTTGCTACACTAAATTTAAGTTTTAGCCCCATCAGAATACCCTGGAAGGGAACCCAAGTAAGATTACTTATCATTTAATGCATTCATACTTTCATTCATGGGGTAATTAAATTTAGAATATGTCGTGATACTTTTTCTTTTTCTGCCCTATTTCGTTTTCAACAGCTTTTCAACATGGTGAGATCCATCAGTTTCAAAGACTGCCAATACCTAAACAAGACACCAGATTTCACACAAGCTGTAAATCTTGAGGAGGTGATTCTTAAAGGATGTAGAAGGTTGCGCCAAATCCACCCATCTTTGCTGGTTCACAAAAATACTGCTCTTCTGGATATGACACTTTGTACAAGTCTTACAACTCTTCCAGAAAATATTCATATGGAATCTCTTAAAAAACTTCAGCTTTCTTCTTGCTCAAAACTGAAGAAGTTTCCAAAGATTGTGGGTAGTATGGATTGTCTATCAGAGCTTGCTTTAGACAAAACTGCTATTAAAGAACTGCCATTTTCTGCTGAACTACTAGTCGGACTTACAAGGTTCAATCTCGGGTTGCTCCAAACTTGAAAAGTTGCTAGAGACATTGGGGGAATTGAAAAGATTGAGGGTCTTAATGTGAGTGGAACTGCAATAGGGAAACCAGTGTCGTCTATTTTCCTCATCAACAAACTTCATGAATTAATTTTTTGTGGATGCAAAGTTCCACCATCAAATTCATTGGCGTCACACTAATTCACCAGTTTGATGCCAAGAAAAAGTTCAGATTCCACTGCCTTTAGGTTGCCTTCTTTGTCAGGTCAGTGTTCTACTTTAACATATATGGTTCTCAACAACTGCAACCTAGAGGACGAATCAATCCTTAGTGATTTTTTTAGTAGCTTTTCTTCACTACATCTTTTAGATCTAAGCTCAAACAATTTTGTTTCACTACCCGAAGGCCTCAATTATCTTTCTAAGCTTCATACTCTTTACTTGGTCGATTGCAAGAGACTTCAATCTTTACCAGAACTTTCATCTAATATTCAGTTAATTGATGTGAGTGGTCGTACTTCACTGGAAACATTGTCGAATACATTAAGGTTATGCAATTCAAATTTGTCGAATATTTCATGTGGAAACTGCTTGAAATTGATCGGATGCAGCAATATGGCATTTTCAATGTTGAAAGAACATCTTAATAAGGTCAGTCTCCTTTTCTCTGTATATTTATCTCCCTCCGTTTTTGAACGTTTATTCAACAGTATGACTTTTTTGTTCTTAATTTTTTTTTCATTTTTTTGTGCACAGAAAGCGCCAAATTTGAGAGAGAGATCTGACATCCATGAGATAGCTTTACGAAATGACACTGTGTTTAGATTGGTAGTTCCAGGAAGTGAAATTCTTCAATGGTTTAGTCATCAAAGTGAGGGTTGTTCAATAAGAATAGAAAAGGCTCCAGATTTATATATAAATGGTAAGTTGAGTAATCAGCGTGAGGGTTGTAGAATAAGAATAGAAAGGCCTCCATATTTGTATAATAATAGTAAGTTGGTGGGATATGTTGTGTGCTCTGTTTTTACGGTCCATAAGCATCTGCCTACACGTGGGGATAACTGCTCACATGAGGCTAGATGCGAGATGAAAGGCTTCTATATTTTGAGGAGCAGTTTGGCCAAATTGAGTCAGACCATCTTTGGCTACCATATTTTTCTAGGAAAAGTAGTAAATGGCTCCTTCGTAATAGATATGACCAGATGGAGATTTCATTTAGGTGGCCGCCAGCATTGGAGATGAGAAGTTATGGGATCCATCCAATATACGAGGAAGACTTGCAAGAGTTTAACAGAATAACTAACGAGTCAAGATTTTGGAATTTGGATGATACTGATTATGATGGAAGCGGCAATTTGTCCTAAGAATTGATGCACAGATGAGGAGTAATGGTACAAGATCCTGAACTTGTAATACACATATTCCTCTTAAACTTTACGATTCCGGATCGCAGAAAGTTACACAACCTTCTATCCTTTATATTGATGATAATCTTTTATGTTGTTTCATAATTTTAATGCTTTTAATTAAATTACAGAGTTCACCAAGCCAGGTGCAATGGTGCATTATGCCATCCATATTGAAACTGTTTACAATATTCCTTGTTAATTTTCAATAATTAAGCAGTTTTGGTAACACATTTTAGAGAAATTATATTCAGCTCTATTTTAGGTTGTGAAATGAAAACTAACCTTTAAATGGAAAGTATTTCGCAAAATAGCTTAACCCAAGTTTTCTAATTTTTGAAGGACAAAATTGCACCCATCCAAGGTTGATGACGCAAAAAAACGCATCCCCGAAATTTAAAAACTTTTTCACTTACCTCCCCTTAAGGCCTAAGCTAACTCTATTAATATTTTTTTGATGGATTTGGGGTTAATATAAAACAAAGGACACTTTTAACAAAATCTTACTGTTATACGACACAAATTTTATAAAAGAAATGAGAGGACACTTAACGTTGTAAAACCGTTAACTTTAACTAGGGGTGTGGAAATCCAGTTAACCGAACTGGACTGCCTGCTTTTCAAATCGAACAAGTTTTTTGGTTCAAAGGATAATAACAAGTGAAATCGGATCAGATTACTTCTTGAACGTACTGGTTACTAACCGAACCAAATTATCAGTTTAGTTATGGTTAGCCGATTTGTGAACCAGTCCAAAAACTGTAGCTGAGTCAACTCGCCGAGCTGACTAGGCAGAGTCCCAGTCAGTGCATTGCCGGATATATCGAGCGTTTTCAGCTGCTTCAGTTTCCCAAGCTCAGGTGGGATTTTTCCAGTAAAAAAATTGAGCCCCAGTTCCAGGGTTTCAAGTTGAGTCAACTCACCGAGTTCAATGGGGACAGAACCTGAGAGACAGCTGTTTAAGACGTCTCAGGCCCGATATCTGAGGAGGGATTTGGTCGTAGAAACGGTTTGAAGACGGTCTAAAACTGTGAGACTGGGTAAAGAGAAGAGAGAAGGTGAAAGAGGAGCCTTGAGGAAAAGAGCTGGAAGAGAGAGTGAGACGACTCGACCGAGTTCGCAAGTGACACCAACCCAGTTACAATGCGGGGTCTTCCCGTTCCATGAGAAAAGTACTCGTGGATTTTCAAGAGATTTTTTGAAAGAAATAAGAGTTTCTCTTTCTGGGTCTCCCTCTGCTAAAACATTACAAGTTTCAGAAAAGAACACAAGCACCAATAACCAAACAGACGCCATTTCCATTACAGAGAAAAGGAGAAAAACCAAACAGGAAAAAGGAAACCCATTTACAGCAAGAAGAGTAGAGAAAAAAATATGAAGATAATGAAGTAGCTCACCTTCTCCCCCCCCCCAACTTATTTTTTTTGGCTTATAAGCTCAAAAAGATTATAAACAAACAGGTCAGCTTAATTTTAGAGCTTATAAGCAAGTTTGACCAGCTTATAAGCTTAGACAAACACCCTCTAGGTATCGCATGTAAGAAAGAAGTTTGTTTAGTGTCAGAAAGGAGCACGTGGCATCATCAACGCCAATTCCTATTCCTTTTAATCTTTTCAAACAAGTCCCTAAATAAAGGGAGTTTCTTGTCTCTTCCATAATTTATTTCTCTTCTTCTATTTTATCATTTCTTTTTTTGAAAGGAATTTTAAATCACAATGCCCAACTTTATAATATTCTCTGCTTCTTCTATTTTTATTTAATTAATCTATTATCTATCAACATTTGCTTAAAAAAATTAAAATAAAAGTGTTTTAGTCTTTAATATATATATATTGATGACCAAGGATGTCCAGGTCAGTTTACGCGTACCTCAACTAATCTTTCAAGATCTTAGAATTATCGACTAAGTAAGAGCTTCAGTTGCTACCCCTATTAGCACAGGGCTTTGGAACTAACGACCGGGTAAGAACTTCAATGACCATCCTATTAGCACAGGACTCTAAAACTACCAGCACCGGATAAGAGTTTCAATGACTATCCTTATTAGCAACTAACCTTGAACTACCGATCAAGTAAGAGCTTCAGTGGCTACTCTTATTAGAAACCAAGAAGGGACTCAGACTTAGAATCTGTTGAGTAATACACCCAAGAGTTTCTATCGAACCACTCGACGTACTACCCTGAGGTATGTTGATAAGAGCTTGAAAATACACATTTAGTTAGTGGTTTGTGGGGATTATTTGTGGGAAATTAGGCCTAATTTGGTAAAGTTGTTAAATATTTTCATAATTGTCTTTTACGGGATCACGGGTATATTTTGAGTGTGTTCAGGTTCTTAAAGATGATATTCAAATGAAGGTTATATCGATGATGGAATGTGGGACGACAAGAATCAAATGGTTTGTGAATCGGAGCTGAAACGAAGAAGTTATGGTGATTTGAAGTTAAAGTGAAAATCTTGAAAAACGCTCCAGTTTTGAACATGCGACAGTAATTCGACAATAACTTGAGCTGTAGATTTTGGATCGAGATGATTCTTGAACCGTTGGAAAGATGATTCAAAGGGATACAATTCATATTTTTACCACTTCACAAGATTCAAACGTTGTCATGCTCAAAAACCACCGTCTTGTCAAGATTGCAAGTTCTGGGGCAGAATCAACTATGTCACGGCACAACTGCGATTCTGGACTTGTTTACATTAAATCTATGACGTGTATTTCCTGTTTTAAGAGTTCTAAAGTGATTAGGATAGTGGGAATCATAACCCTAAAACCCTAGGAGTATAAATAGATATCTTTAGCTGATTTTTAGGAGATTAGAAGGGAGAGAAGTTCAGCTACTCTTTGGAGATTGCAAATTCTTGCAATTTTGAGTTACCAATTAGAGAAGTTTTTCTACACTTTCTTATACTCATGTTTATGAATACAATAGCTTTTATTACAAAAAGTATGAACTAATTTTATTTTTTAGGGCTAAGATGTAGCCCAATTTTATGAATATGCATTGAATTATTTGTTACTAATTTTTATTAAGTTTTGTTTTAAGTTTTATTATTGCGGTTAAAGCTTTTAATTCTTAAGGGCTCTAGAGTTGAATGATTTTATGGGTTAGGTTGAGATCGAGAGATGAAACCTAATTAGTCTAAGGTAATAAAACTATAGATTGAGCGAACACTAGAGATAGGTTACAGCGATCAGTGAGGCTCTGGTAAATTCCATAGAACTTAATAATCTCCCATTACTTAAATCTGATTAGAGATAATTCAGGTTAGCAATTAGGAGTTAATTTGTTAATTGTTCGAGAGAAAGTTAACAAAAATATTAGAGAGTTTGGTCTTGAGAATAAGCTTAATTGGGTTAACAATAATTCTCAATGCATAGATTAAATTGGTGTGAAATCTATGCTCTAGGTTTAGTCATATTGATTTCCTACTAAAGTATTAATAAATGTCTGTTTTTGTTTTGTTTCTAAGTTGTTTTATTTTTCATTGAATCATTCTGAAAATCTAATTAATCAAATAGCAATAAGATAGGTTAGTGTGGTACTTGGTATTAGTAATTCTCTTGGGATTCGACACTCTTTACTCGAGCTTTATTACTTGCATGATTCCGTACACTTGCGAATTTC